GGCGAATGCATACTCGAGACATTTCTGAATGTGCATAATCACACCCTAACTGAGCTTTCTTTCCTTGCAAGGCATATAAGCTTTTCCCTATGTTTTTCAAGATGTGATTTCTATCAAACCGTTTTTTCATGGTAATGTTCAAGTCTGATACGATATGAGTAATCATGGTATCACCGTCTCCTTCCCGGTAATCAACAGGAGTTCCACCCTCAAGAATCTCCTTGATACCTTGAACCCTACTTTTACATTCCATTAACCGATCACTACCGAGTGATTTAGGACACATCTGTGCTTTCGGATTGGTAGTCCAGGTCTATTCCTCATCCACCACTTGCATGTGCCGCATGTTCGGTGACCCACTAGTGCTTTAACCACCTTCTTTCCATAGATGGCATTGCTCATGAAGAACGTGTGTGCTAAAAATAAAAAATAAAAAGTTTGGTTGCATGTTTAAAATATAATTGCTGAGGCACATGTCATAATATTTTTAGGCAACCAGAATCATCATAATAAAGGAGAGGGTGAGCCTCGTTGGCCCAGTGGACTAAGGTGCTACGAATGAACATAAAGGCTTTCTGCTCACGTTTCTACCTATATGGGAAGGTCCGCCATAGTACCTACTGAAAGTCACATGGGTTCTACAGTTTTCTCCATCACTCATCACCGGCCTATGTCATATAGGTGAAATATTCAAAAGTGTTGCGTAAAGTAATAATAACAAAATAATGCCTCGGATTTATGAATATACTAACATGTAAGACTGTCAAATCCCCTTTTATGCCAGGCTGTATCAACTGCACAAGACATTCCACTTCTGGTCTTGCATGGAAATCTTGATGCAAGTCTCACACGCTTCTTAGATGTTAAGATCTTCTTCTTGCCAGGTTGTTTGTGTGGGGCCTGAGGAATTTGTTTAATTTCGGCAATAAGGCTGGCTGGATTTGATTGAGTGTTTACACTGAAACACATACAAAGAAAACTTTGATACACTTCAATAAACTTTCATGTCTGACGTAACAAAAATATGAATTAAATACAGCATGTACATTTTAAAAGTTTAATCCTTTCCTAGCTAAAGCTAATACGGTCTGTGATTATACCCGGTTTCCTTGGTGCTAATAGACCGCCTCTGTGGTCTAGAGGTAGAGCGTCCGCCCGGAGAGCGGAAGGTCCAGGGTTCGATCCCAAAAGACGTTAAAAGATGGTACTTGTTGTTACCCTGTCTGGCGCTCGGCATTAAGGGGCTAAAACAAGGACTGGTCGGCTCGGAGTCAGTATACTGTGTCTGAGTGGGGTGTTCATGTTAAACTGCGGCATGGTATCTCAGTGAGCTGGCACTATAAATCGGCATCAGTCCGGACTAGTACTAGCAGCCACACACACACACGTCGCGATATAAGTGCAATAATTTTGGACGCGACGTTAAAACACCATTTCACCTCACCTTTGAGCTAATAGGATAAGGTCCCCAATTTGCAGTACTTGAAAGCAATGAGATTGGAGCACAGGTACTCGTTATTGGTCAGTAAAGAAAAGTATATACCCCTTTATGTAAGTAGAGATTCTCTACTTACATATTAGGGGGTATATAGTTTTATTGACTGACCAATAACGAGTTCCTGTGGATTGGAGAGTAGTTCCCCGAGCTCGACGATCCTCCGCCCTTCTTTCCATCCATCTCTGCTTTGTATTTGCCGAGTTTGATGTTTCGAAAAAGTGGACAGTCGTCGTCCTTGCAAGGATCACCGTAGCAAACATGAAAAGCTGGGTAGTTTTTCTTTTTTAATCGACCACAGCTGTCTCGGTCAGTCGCCATGATTGTTTACAATAAGGGCCATAACTCTTACTCGGCATTAATTCACCCGAACATTGTTGATGTTGGAAACATCGGCAAAAGTCGTAGTTTTCACCGGAAGTGTCCCAATATACAGGGAATACCTTAATGTTACTTTTACAGGCTCCACCATAGATAATGGAGCCATAATGAGCTTAGAACGAACATGTGATATATAAAAGTGAAGGAGGATCCTTTGATTTCCCCACTTTGGGTGAGTTAGTGAGTATGGTTTTACGCCGCTTTTAGCAATATTCCAGCAATATCACGGTGGGGGACACTAGAAATGGGATTCACACATTGTACCCATGTTGGGAATCGAACTCGGGTCTTCGGCGTGACGAGCGAACGCGTTAACCACTAAATGAATTAGAAACAACCTTTAATTAGTCTAGTGTCCTAGTGCCTTCAGGCATTTAGCTTCGAAATATTTCATGTATGATCAAAAAGTAAGGTGATGATTGCTAATAATTTAGCTTCTTTTACAACTTTAATTGGAGTTCGATCAGATGTAAATCTGGGTCCCTATATGGTTTATAATTTCGACAGAAAGAGAGAGAGACTACATTGTCCAACATGTTGCTTTGTTCGGTTCCCTTGTTACAGTCCATCACTTCAACACTGGAACCCGTTCAAAGTGAACTGGTGTTCATCATTTTGCATGAAACATCGACATGTATATGTATACCTTTCTCAGGAACATATTCACTGGAAGATACCAGGTACCCTGAGTTCCAAACGTTCTCAGATTCATCTTTTTTTATTACAAATCTCAGAAACAAAATTTGAAGTTTTTCGATGCATTTGTCACATGAAATATTAAAACAACTTTTAAGCTGTCAAGAACATATGTACGCTCATCCGTCTACTTCGCGACATCAGAAAAAGTTCTCTGAAACATATATCCTCAGAATTCAAAGAGTAGGAAGTGTCCTAGTGTATGGAAATTTTCTGCAAACATCTGCTTTGATAATAGTATCAACTACATTTTCTATAGCTTCATCTACATAGATGATAATCCTAGTAAATGATACTTTCTTATGCAGATGATACTCTCATCTATTTGCATTGTACTTTCATACACGTAACCTTTTGAGGAATTTTTTTTTTACTTTGGCACTAATACATGTTATACAACGTATACATAAAAAATCTGTACTTTGGTTCACAGGAATATCGACACACAAAAATACTGAAAAAACAAACTTCCCTTGGACAAACATGTACATATGTGACGTTAAGGGAAACTCAAATGTTGATTTGTTTTGGAAATTTCGTCTAGAACGTTGACAAATTCATCGGATGACCCTTCTCCTGGTCACGATGCACTAACTGATGAGAGTTCCATTTTTCTATTTTTTGGAGGGAGCTTCTTTTCATCAAGTCCAGGAACCCTGCAACTTCTAGTGCGCATAGCCGTTCTTTTGACCTCTCCCTAGTAGGGAGAACGTGATGGCGCCATTCTGTTCTTAGAGGTTGACGGAGGTGGTTCCCCTTTGAAGTCATGGTCGTGGCAAAGTGTCTGTGAAGTTATCACGGTAGAATCTTGCTTGTCTTCATCTTTGGAGGACGCCAACGCTTCTTCATTCTCCTCAGAGGCAAATATGTCTTTTGTCTATTTCCATTGACTCATGCTGTCATACCAACGAGTCAGTAACTTCTGTTCTTAAGTATGGCTTTAATTTTGTAGGGTCCACGCGATTTCTCTTCGAATTTTCCTCCCTTTCTCGTAACTCTCCGGGAGTTATGTAAGAGGACGTTGTCAACAGGTTTGAAAGTGCACTGTTGAATCTGGAATTGTGCAGCAGCTTTTGTTTTTTCTGAGCTTTCTCAATGATCTTCCTTGCGACATTTTGCGAGAATGACAAATCAAGGAAAGCCTCACGACAGGTAGGGATGTCAAGTTCCACAGGAAGTTTTCTCTTCTCTAAAGCGAAAATGGTACGATATGCAAGAACATAAGAAAGTTGATCATCCCAGTCATTCTGTGCTGAATGAAATATTGTCAACATCGTGAAAAGTGTCTTATTAAATCGTTCAGTATTGCCTCTAGGTTTGTGGATGATACGGTGATGCAATGTGATCAATGCCCATAGCTTCGCAAAATCTTATTCAAATCATTGCAAAACTCCCTCCCCTGGTCGGTTTTGAGTTTATCTGGTACACCATGTCAGCAAACAAAATGGACAAAACATTTCAGGACTGTTTCAGCTGACTTATTCGAAACTCCCTCTGCCTCAACACACTTAGTAAGATAGTCCGTGAAAACCAGAATGCACTTGTTTCCTGAAAAGAAAAACGCTTTCAAATTGAAGTACTTCTTTGAAAGGTTAGTTTACAGTAAGTATACAAATCTGAATGACTGTTTTTGGTTTACAACACAAACACAATTGACTTTAGATACTCTTCTTCCTTGACATTTGACTAAATTGTTTATTTAGAAAATGGCATTGAAGCGTCTGTTTCTGTTTTGCAAGTTCTTGTAAAACACCTTTGGTTACTGAACCAATGAAATGTCATAAAATCAATAAAAATGATTTTTTTAATATAATAAATATTTGCTCTGCTCCATTAGCATAAAAAATTATAATACAAATCGGCCATTACGTAGGTGCTGAACATATATCAAATATACTAATGCTATAACATAATTCGATTCTATGGCCTCAATGGAAAGAAACACGAGTTCTTTGGTGATCAGTGTCAATTTGTATTATTTGTAATATCTAGTCCTTCTTGTCCCCTGCCGCGCGAAAGCGTGAAGCGGGGGATATAGTATTCACGACCGTCCGTCAAGAACTAATCGCTTGATTGTCTTCATATTTGGAACTATGGTGTATATACAGACTCCGCAGACACCAGTCGGTTTTGGTGACCTTGACCTCATTTTCAAGGTCACAGCAGGCAAATCTGCTTTTGGAGTTGCCGCGATATCTCAAGAACTAAACACTGTATTGTCTTCATATTTGGTACTATGGTGTATATACAGGCGGGGGACATTTCGTCACTTTGTGACAAATACTTGTTAAACTTAATTTTTAAAATTCTGGGATCAACAACGATTTATTTTACCAATTATTTGTCATGCATATTAAGGCGCTTATTTGTCTACCGCCAGGGAACAGCTGGGCGACCTCCATCACAAGGACACATTGTGTATCAAGACATGGCGGAGAGTGAAATATTTCTTTACGATGTCTGTCGCACAGAGAATAGAAACAGACATTCCGAAACAACGAGAGGAGAATGGACGAGCAGAAGAGAGTACATCCTGTCGCTCCTTGGGTTCTCTGTTGGCCTTGGGTCTCTGTGGCGATTCCCCTACCTTTGTAACAGGAATGGCGGTGGTCAGTATGAAATGTGTATTCAGTAATTGCTTGTGAATAAAATGAAAAATAATTAATTCACTTGTCTGAACATGCCGGATATCCTTAAAACGTTTTCGGCCCTCCTTTCCCAACGTTTGTAAGTATACCTGTACGTCGAGTTACAACAATGTTCAGTTGTACGTCGTGAAGGATATCCATATACACATAGTAAGTTGTAAGCACTCGCGGTTATTCAGACCAATAACCAAATGTAATTCATCTATTGATACACTAATCATCATCCATTGAAATGTTACCATTTTCCAAATTAAATACCATGCATGTTTCAGGAAACGCAGCGGACATAATAACACGTCCCATTTTTAATGATGGAAACCCATTTGGCAAGTCATTCTCCTTGTTGTGGCCAGTTTCTGTCATAGGTATTTACAAAATTTAACATGCTGTTTTCATGGGCACTCAAAAAGGAAGAAAACATGTTTTAAAAAATCTTTCGAAAACTCAAATTTTAAACTATGTCGCCCATGGTCGAGAATATTTTCCTTTGCTCAAAACTCATGTTTTTCTTCTGCAAATACATAAAGGTGTATCTACAAGCATCATGACACATGACTCAACTCATTTTAACTTAATTCAACTAATTTGTGGCGTTATTAAACTATTTCGCTCCTGGGCTAAAAGAACTGGCCCATCAGCGAGAATATTTTCCTTTGCTTAAAACATATCTTTTTCGTTTGCAAATACATAAAGGTTTGTCTACAAGCATCATGACTAGTGATTCAATTCATTTTACCTTAATTCAACTAATTAGTTGCGTTATTAAAATATTTCGCCTATGGGCGTGAATATTTTCGTTTTCTTAAAACTCATGTTTGTCTTTCGTAATTAGGGGTCACGGGTGGCCCAGTCGTCTAAGGCGCCGTGATTCACTGTGCAGAGTTGTGTCCCTCTGGCACGCCAAAAACCTATGATTGTGGGTTCGAATCCCGATTTGCCCCCATTATGTGTCTAGGTTTGCCAGCTCGAAACCCGTGCTCGTGGGTTTCACCGAAGAGGTAAACGTCTGAGACCTGCATCACTTCTGGCTTTCCTCCAACATCAAGCGGACAGGCCATGATATAACTGGAATACTGTGAAAAACGGCATTAAACCCAACTCACTCACTCTTTTGCAAATACATAAAGGTTTGTCTACAAGCATCAATGACATATGATTCAACTCATTCTAACTTAATTCAACTTATTTGTGGCGTTATTAAAATATTTCGCCCAGGCCGAGAATATATTCCTTTGCTCAAAACTCATGTTTTTCTTTTGCAAATACACATAGATTTGTCTGACAGCATCATGACACTTGATTCAACTCATATTAACTTAGTTCAACTTGTATGTGACGTTATTAAGTGGATTTTGCATTAAATATACGTTCCATTAATGACACTAGGTGTGCGATATACAGGTACACGTGCGCGTATATGAATGAAAAAACATTCGTCTTTCATTGAATAACGTCTGTCTGAATATCTCACATTCTACGAAATTTCGAAGTAATTATTTTACTACATGCGATGTCGAACTGACCAATGTGAATTATGTTTGAAGCTGACTGAGGCAAACGTGTGCATATTGTGACACGAAAGCAACTTTTAAATGCATTGTCACTCTTTTATGAAAAATTGGAACAGTCTAAATAAAAAAAACAGCCTTCTTATGATAATTCGCACTAATCATTCATGTATTTGTCACCGCTATTTTGCCTTTTACACCCAATGGAATATGTTTCGGCAGTAATCGATACTGGTTATTCTCTGGTGTTGACCGTCTATATTAAATTTTACTGTAGTGACCAAGAGAGGAGAATGATCTTCTGTGTCTTGTCGTCAATCGTTCTTCTTGCAATTGTGGTTCGTTTCGTTGTTGACAGGTGCGTTTCTCATTCCTTACTTTATGGGAATCATCACTTGCTCTGTCCCGCTGTTTTTCCTGGAAATCACCATCAGTCAGTTCTCAAGCAGGAGTGCAGCACCTGTGTGGGTCCTCTGTCCTTTGTTTAAAGGTAAGTCGCTTTTTAATACTGCATCGTTAATTACATGTCATGTAACCTTAGTCTTTATCGGACAAGGAGTGTCACTTTATATCCTGTCCTTTATTTTTCTATTTAAAATATATTTGTTTCATATCCAGCATCCTCAGAGTCTCCGCCTTCCGTTCACGAAGAACGAAGTTTGCCTTGGGTCTGATTTAAGACGCTAAGCGTATGAGTTAATAAGGTGGTTATACAGAGAAGAATGTGACGTGTTGTAGAAAATTAATGCATTTGTCACAACTAAAGCAAAACAGGCTAGATAGTCGGACATGACTTGTTTGATTTCAACTGACAAAACATAATTATTTGCCCTGCCTCGTCACAATAATCAATAATTTAATGTACGTTGTGTTCATTGTAATTCCTGCATTCTGATCAGCTGAATAGCTCACGTTATTGCATTCATTTCCAAAGAAATGTAAAAAAATATGCCACGCCCACCGAGGCAGACTACTTTTATTTCTACGGAATGTCGGGGTATCCCACTATTACAGTCGAGGGAATTCCCTTTCTGCTCACGTGTGTTGTCATGCACAGGACATTAAGCGAAATTCAGGTATATTCATTGTCCAAACAACTCTTTGACACCGAAGGCCAAGACGGAATAAAACAGCAAACGTTCAGGGTCGCTCGCCTGTTCTTTCCCGCTTGTCTGGGTTCCACAAATTCCATGTCTTTGGATTTCGTTTCTAACCCGCCTTTTTCCAGCTATGTCTCCCCATTCTTATGGGTCTAAGGTTTGAATCCGACGGTAACTGAAATGTGATCTGAAACAGCCGCCTTCTTACGGGCCTATTTCCGATGGAGTGTGACTGTTGCAGTTCTTCTCGCCTCTTGCAATCATTGACAGGTCCAACGAACTTTGTTTTGATTCTACTCTCCGCTGATTGGCTACTCTCCGCCTGACTTTGTAGGCGTGTCAACTTTTGTGCATACATTAAACAATCACCTGATTCATGTCACGCCACACTTTGTATTCCTAAACCTGGAATTTTTGTCTGCTTTGATATTTGCAACTGCTTTTGGTGAAACTATTGTAGATAACACATGTTTTTAATCATAATCGAATTTAATCATAAGAATTGACTGTGTATTTTGTTCCGGTTCATTGAGGTATGAATTGAAAAGCCGATGTGCAAACTTTTGTAAGAATCCGATATACGATCCAGCTGACACAGAAACATTTTGAAAACGTTTCCATATGGTCCCAAAGACGTTTTTAACCTAAATGTGTATCAAAACGTTTTCAAACAACTTCGCCAAGAAACATTATGGGAACCTAAAAAAAAACTTAAAACGTTTTCAAAACGTTTCCAAATGGTTACAACCATGTTTGAGAAAAGGGATTGACCATTTGATATTCTGGGGAGGGTCGGGGCCTGGGATTTTATCCAAAACATTCGCCGAACATTCTTCCCAACAATAATCATGCTTAAGACCGGTGGAAGAAAAAGAAATTGCCTGCCACAAAATGACATTGCCAGGTGCTTATCTTCAGGCTCATAGAGTTATATAAACATGTATATCTGGTTTTGTTTTGTGTTTTTGTTTGGTTTGGTTTGTGTGTTGTTTAACACCGCACTCAGCAATTATCCAGCTATATGACGGTGGTCAAATAATCGAGGTTGGACCAGACAATCCAGTGGTTGACATCATGAGCATCGATCAACGCAATTGGGATCGATGACACTTTTTTAGTTTGATGGTTCCCCCACTATAGACTTTCAAGATTTAAGTTGAATGCAAAATGTGATACGAACATAGAACACAATACATTTATACAAATACATACTGAGCATTCATTTGAAGCCACAGAACTACCAACATGTATATAGACCATTTAATTTAACAGCTGTACTGACGTTAACGTTACTCAGAGCCCCGGGTTTATTTGGTGTATTCCTCAATGATCCAACATTCCCGTTTATCTCACGAATGCTCGTGTCTCAGTTTCACCCTTGCAGCAGCGAAAACAACAATGTTCGGCATTGGTACAAAAGTCAAAACTAAAACTATATCCAATAAACATATATTTATAGTAAGATCAACACTTGTTAGATTAGTGGTTGGGTTGGTTTGTTGTTTAACGCTTAAGCAATATTCCAGCTATATGACGGCAACCTGTAAATAATCGAGTCTGGACCAGACAACCCAGTGATTAATATCATGGACATCGATCCACGCAATTGGGATCAATGACATGCATCAACCAAGTAAGCGAGCCTGACCACGATCTCGTTAGTCGCCTTTTACGACAAGCATGAGTTGCTGAAGACCTATTCTACCCCGGAATCTTCACGGGTCGTGAGGTTAGTGAGTGAGTATGTGTTTTAGCAATATTCCAGCAATATCACGGCGGGGGATACCGAAAAATGGGCTTCACACATTGTACCAATGTGGGGAATCGAACCCGGGTCTTCGGCGTGACGATCCAACGCTTTAACCACTAGGCTGCACCACCGCCCCCTTGTAAGGTTACGACTCACAATCAGCCAAGTCACAGGACCCAACCATCCTTTCCTTATATAAATCTGCTCTTACGACAGGCCCGGGGTTATGATGACCTACTCTGACGGTAATCAAGACAGGGCACAGTGCAATGTCATCCAGGCGTTTAAATTTAGTTACTGTGAACATATTCTAGAAACAAAAACTTTGAAGATACAGTTGCTTCAACTTCCTGAAGCGTCGTCTATAAAAGGGATAAGAAATAATAACGGAAAAGATTGCGTCTTCATTCTGTTACGATATACTATACATATACGCCACCATCACCATCTGTCCTATCATTAATTTAGCACAGAATTTACCTAGTAATTTGATTAGTATCGTGCTATTCGCATCGGCCTCAAACCGACCTATGACAGCAAATGGTCCAGAAATTGTTCATGATATAATACCCTGGATAATCGAGGATGAGCATGGACTAGTTCGGCGTATCTAAAAGTGTGTATATGTTAGGAAATGATGTAATATTACCATGCAGATTGTGATAAACATGTTTTGTTCCAGGTATCGGGATCTCTCAGGTATTATGCTCTTCATTCGGAGGTGTGCTGTACAATGTCATAATTTCCTGGTCCATGTATTACATATACACGTCTTTCTTGACCGTGTTGCCATGGACAACGTGTGACAACTGGTGGAACACCCCCTTGTGTGTCAGTAAGCTTGGGAACGTTTCATCCATTAGCGAGACCCACGTCCACATAAATGCAGTGGAGGAACGCCTTTTCTACTCAGCATGGAGAAAGTCGAATGTAACATTGACAGCATCAGAAGAATTTTGGCAGTAAGAGAAAGATTGTAGCATACATTGTATACTTCAAGACTACTGTTTAAGGCCTGGAATAAATGTGTAAGGGCATGCTTACACTTTCCGCAAACACCTGGTATCATCACTGAATTTCAGAGATCCATTCATATTATTTTCACCGCTATTGTGATTTTAATAGCTTCGACAGATAATCCAGACAGACTTTTCTTTGGCGTTGACGTTTCATATTCAAAATATTGTGACCATGTAACTTCACACAGGTAAAAACTACAAAACATGTTTTACATTCAAACCAAATGAACAATTAGCTGTTGAATATGACAAATAAGACATATTTTGAATGTCAAACCTAACGTTCTGTCAACGTTTCTAGCAAAAGGGCAGGATACCAGTCCAGGTCTATCCGACCTAGTTCCCCATACAGCATTTCCCTGCAGTGGAACGTTGACATATATAAATGACCCATTTCCGTGAAGGGGTCTGCCTGTCGAGAGGGTTGAGGACAGTACTCCGGCATATATGTATGCGCGAAACGTTGACCCAGTTTTCGTACAGAGAGATATTAGCAATTTTGGATAGTGTGAATTATATGTGAATAATTGACGTTTCAGGCAACAAGAGTAAACATATTACTATTAAGTAGGTAACTTTCATAAAGAAGTATGGTTTAAGGTTAAATATAACAAACGCACTGTTGTGGGTCTCAGTTTTAACAATGTCTGCATGTCTCCATATATATAGATATTACTTTGAAAAGATCAATTATGAAAACACAATGATATTAATAACTGTACCACTGTATCGATGTCACCAGTATCATTTGTACCACCACACTAACAGTACTAACTTCAGGAAGTCATTGTTGTGAAAACATATTACTAGTTTTCTATACATAATATGTTTCTTTTCTACTTTTATATAACATGAATATTTAAACCGAAATGTGTCATATTCTCATCCTTATTCTGAAGGAACCACCTGCAAATTACAAGTTATTTTATCTGGATCAAAGTTATCTTGTCATGCAGGTATTATCGCCATATTGACATACATATAACCCAGTTTGTTTCACCATGTCATTTCAGACAATAACGTTAACAAACAAAACACTATTGAAACAAATTGAGTTAAAACTTCGAACACATATAGTCCCATGTGCAACATTGTCATATGGCCGACCGAGCGTCCGTTAAACAAAAACCGGATATGAGGAGGACTGTTGTGAGGATCTTATCATGACATGGCCAGCTATGTCCGTTTCTATATTAGGACTACAAAAAAGTCAAACTAGCATAAATGTCATCCCACTGGTATGCTTTTCGACTACAAATACTTCATGTTGAGCAACAAAAATGTCTGATAAAAGAACCATTATTTGGTTGTTGTTTTTAATATTGGTGCCTTTCAGCGGATACACTTAATGTCATTTTCATATATTAGCATCATACTGCAGCATTGTAAAAAGTAGTTCTCGAACCAGGAATTCCTACACTTTTTATGCCAATTGTGTGAGACCGGTAGGACAGGACTTGCTTCTCCTTATCGCGAACACCTTTTGTCAGTAATCCATTCGTAGTATTTTTTTCACCGTTAAGTTGCCTTTTACTTGCAATAGAATCTGTCTCGTCTTATAATCGAGACGCGTCGAAATATTAAATTATATATCCAACAATGCCAGAAAAATTCATTGACACGCCCATTGACAGTGAATAAGCCAAACAAATGAAACCGTTGCTTATTGTGAGTTCCATTTACTGTGGCAGATACGGCACACTGAGGGTGTCCAGTGGAATCGACAAATTCGGGTCAGTCCAGGTTCATCTCCTTCTCTGTAACCTTGCTTCCTGGGTTGTAGCGTTCCTCTGTCTCATGAAAGGCATCAGGTCTGTAGGAAAGGTAAGACGCACCATTCGTAAAGCCACCAACCACACTGATTTCATCATCTGATCCCATTTTTTTATATATGAGGCTTGATATACATTTAACAGTCCTATGGGGATAGAATACCACCCCAATACGTCCCCATTATGAACAATGTGATGATGACTATTTTAGCAATGCTCATGGCAAGAGGAGGTAACTCTTCCTGCAATTATTCTCAAAGCTGGTTTACCACACCTCAGAGGGTCGATTTAATATCCCATCTCTAAACTCATTGATTAACGCAGAAAGCGGGAAAATCAGCGTACATCACAAACTAGGGTTGAAGGTTGCATGCGTATTTCATAAGCTGCTATTTTTAGAATTTTCTACGAAGTTGAGTTACTTTGATGAAGTGAACAGTTATTCTTAAAACTATCAATACAACCGAATACGCGATTGTAAATAGGTTTATTCTCTTCTGCAATCACTTGTTATAATTTTCAGAGTGTTGTCATTGTAATTAATAAGGGACAATATATAAAAAATATAATTAAATCAGACCTCACCCTACTTCTACTAGCGGTATGCAGTTTTTACATAACTACGCAGTTACTTCCCTTCGGACATGTTTCGCAAACAGTAAAGTATTTGTTTTTTAACAATCCTCGTAGTTTGAGGCAGTAAATGTAAGAATGTTGTATTGGAGAATATATTTATGACATTGGGGTATTTTTGCGTTTAAAGTTTAAAGTTTTAAAAATACTAAAATAACTGTCAGGCTGAACCATTTCACATTGTCAATTTCATGTGTTTGTGACTGAAGCATGTTTATTAGAAATAAAGAACGTAGTTTTAAGGTAGGTAGGAGGAACACTTATGATGTCATGTATATGTGTTACAATAAGTAACTAAATGTATGTTTTAATTAATGTAAAGTACAGTGAACTTGTATGAACACCAATCTGAATCATGGGGGATGGGGTGGGTCAAATTGGATGATTGGAATAATCTTCTTGATACTTACAGAAAATAGAGAGATTGTGAATCCCTAACATCAATTTATGCTCAATGTTTGTCAGAAAATAATAATGTTGCACAGTGGCTTCATGATCATTTTGAGTGTGAACTAAGTGAGCGAAAAATTTCTTCAAGAGAAACATTGCATCACTTGTTCAATTCAGCAGTATTAGTAGTAGTAGTGGGTGTGGTTACTTTTCATTGCTGAGATCAAGATCCAGAAACGTAGCATTGAAAAAGCAAAGGAAAAGTTTGGAAAATAAGCAGTAAAGTTTGAAAATGTTCCCATTACTTGAACAGTTGCAACTTATTGACAGCATGAAAGCACAGCTTAATGTGAGTGTAGCTCCGACTAAATTTCAAACAAATGGGTTAGTATTTGAAATTCACAAATTTGCCCCTGGAAACCGTCAAATATTTGCTACGTGGGTTAGACAGGTTTTTAATGTTCCCCTTCAGAAGCTTAATTTTAATGCCTTAATGAGTAAGTTTCACCGAATACAGCAAGAAGATAAAAAGACGAAAGGAAAAATATAGAGCTGAACATTTCATTGTGCCAGTACAAACTCCTGAGAGAATGTGGTCAGATTATGACATTGCAAGGCCTTGGACATTAAGTAAACACTAATAGTCTGAAGGATGAAGTAAGCAAATGCAAAACAAGAAAGAAAAAATGATATCTCTAAAAAGGGAAAATTACAATTTAAAAAGAAAATTAAATAGAGCCACTGATGATTTTGCTGTAGAGACAGAAATTGGAAACCCTTAAGCCAAATATGTGAGGAAAATATTTCAGCCTTAACAGGAAAGAAAAAAGTGCCTATGCTCGAACTAAAACCAGCCTGGCCAAAAATGCTTCAAAAGTCAAGAAAATTGGGAAGAAATTTGAATGCAACCAAGAGCTGAAATCTTCAAAGGAATACATCGAAATGTCAACTGAAGCTTTGGAAGATTCTATTTGCGCATTGGAAGAGGCAGTACAAAATGAGAAAAGCATGAAAAATGACTTGGAGAACTGTGAAGAACTGTTGAAAGACAAAAGAAAGTTTAATATAGACTCCTTATGTTTCTTTTCATTTTTTGTTGTTGTAGGTTAGACATTTCAAGCCCATACTGGCAGGCACAGTTGATGCTGTACTAGAAACGGTGCCTGGAAGCTCAGATGTGTCATAAGTTATTAACTTACCCCCAAAAATGGACATTTTCGCCACATTTCGAAGTCATTTTTCTATTCCCAAAATTCAGTTTAGATGAATATGCACCAAAGTTGGCACTGGATTACTGCTGTTATGCTACTAAAATATTATGGTTTAATTCAAATAAACATTTTCGTAAAATATTACCCATTTTTATTTGTTGCCATTTTTTAGACCAAAATGAAATTTCTGGCTCTCCACGGTGGTGTCAAAAAAAGCTTTTCTGAAAGTCAATCAGACAAGTTGGAGAAATACCATCCTATGATATGTATTTCTGAAAGATTTCTGAAGCTAAATCAGTGATTTGTTAACACAATATGAAAAATTCTAAATTTGACTGAGCATTGCTAACTATTATTTAACGAACGCCTACACTAAAGTTCCTTTTGAGAAGACGCCAAACACTTTGGAACCCACTTTGATCCACATTATATAATTGTTAAGAACATCCAGATTGACCTGTGAACAAGTTTATTTTTGAGGTGAAAGACATTAATATTTCCGTGCATATTTGACAACACATTACACGCGACACCCTCCGCTAAATATATAATGGTTGACCCCTATCCTTTCCATGTCGTAACGTAATTTTCGACTAAAATGGATCGAGTGGGCAGGCTTTTTTACCCATAACGTCTCACTGTATCCCGATGGCGTGGATCTTTGCACAGTCACTGACTTGCCGGATCCAGACTCGATTATTTACAAGCTGTCATGATTTTCATACAGTTGGAACATTCCTAGCTGATGCATTAAGCAACATTCGCACACCCATTCACTCGCTTTAACCGGAGATTTGTTGGTGTCACATTGTAATAAATCTGGGTTGAGAGTCCTCACTTGATAACTACAGGTTTTCATTTGTAGGTGGTATATGTGACTGCGTTGTTGCCGTATATGCTGCTTACGGTGCTGCTCATAAGGTCATGTATGATGCCGGGAGCAGGAGATGGGATTGTATACTTCTTCCGTACAGACTTTTCACGACTCGCGTCTGTTCAGGTTAGAGTTCATAAAACATTCGTCAGAATAATGTCGGTTGACATAATCTTTGCTTTGATCAGTTTTGGCATGTTCCTCTGAACACCAATCCTTTGTAGCCATTGCACATTTCCTTTACTCGTTTGTGTATTTATAAGTGACCGTTAATCTTGATAACCACAAATGTCAATCCGTTTAACGTCATTGTATCGCACATCTTGAAATATTTATTTTACACACATTATGCTGATCATGCAAATAGTTTTGTCAAGTTTTCCTTTGAATGAATTCCAACATCCTAACTTTAGCCAAACTAATATAATCTCACGGGGACAGAGAGCAAAGGGAGATACATGTCTACCTGTATCTCTTTGCTGTACAATGCATAATTAATTTTAAAATACAAATACCATTATATTGCCATCTCTCACAGTTCTTTTAAGACAGCATTAATGACCTTGCATTGTATAGGTGTGGTTGGAAGCGCTGCTCCAAGGTTTCTATTCAACGGGCGTTACGTACGGCGGACTCATCACCATGAGCAGCTACAACAACTTCAACAACAGACCATTGAAGTAAATAGTCATACATAACTTCTGAAATCATTTGCAGACAATGTGGTTCTAATAATGATGACGATGGCGTTCAAGTAATAACAGTTAATCTCCGCGCAGGCACCTACTCTGCTCTCGATATGTCAGTAACAGATTCTGAATTATTGAACGAATTTAAATGGTCCGTCCATGAAGACCTCTGTGGAAGTGATCATTTCCCATCTATTTCAAAACCCGTCTTACCTTCCTATGTTCCTCCTTCAACAAAATGGAACTTTACTAAGGCTAACTGGCCTTTATTCGAAACACTTGCATGCAATAAGTTAAAACCTGATTGTTTCTTGATGCTACTGACCCTGTACAATTATTTTCTGATGTATTAAACGAAATCGCTGATGAATGTATTCTTAAGTCCTCTACAAATCCTCACATTCGTAAACCATGGTTTAACGATGACTGCAAACAAGCTAGGAAGGCACTGAAAAAGGCTGAACACTACTTCCGTCGCCATCCCATGGTACATCAGTTGAATAAATTTAAAATTAAAATGCTAAAGCCAAGCGTACTTTTAAGCAAAATAAACGCCAATCTGTGCAAAATTTGTTTCCCAAATAAATTCACGGCCGCCTATGTCTAAGGTATGGAACATGATACAGAAAATTAAAGGTAAGGGTTCTAAATTTAGCATCCACCATTTTAAGAATGGGGTTGAACTATTAACTAATAAATCGGATATTGCAAATAAACTAGGTGAAACGTAAGCAAAACATTCTTCTTCCTCAAATTATGTACCTAATTTCCAACAGTTTCAAAAACAGCAAGAAAAGAAAATCATTAATTTTAAATCCGATAATGGGGACGACTATAATGAAATATGTTCGATGCATGAACTTCATACTGCTCTTGGACAAGCACATGATACCGCCACAGGTGCTGATAATATACACTATCAACTCCTGAAGCACTTACCAGAACCATGTTTAGAAAACTTTTGTTAATTTTGTATGATATATGGACATCAGGAAATTTCCTTCTTCTTGGCGTGATGCCATAGTTGTACCCATACCAAAACCTAGAAGAGATCATAGCGATGTTTGTAAAACCATGGAACGTATGGTCAATAATAGATTAACATGGTATTTGGAATCAAATAATTTAATCACAAATATTCAATGTGGATTCCGTAAAAATCGCAGTACCATTGACCATTTAGTTAGATTGGAGTCATTCCTTAAGAATGCCATTGTTAACAAACAGCATGCAGTGTCTATCTTTTTCGATCTGGTAAAAGCATATGACACTACATGGAAGCACGGTATTTTAAAAGATTTACATGACTTTGGATTGCGAGGCCGTTTGGCTCAATTTATATCCGGGTTTTTAACTGACAGACAATTACAGGTCCGCATGGGTACAACCCTGTCTGATCATTATCATCAGGATCAGGGCGTCCCACAAGGCAGTATTTTGTCACTTTATTTAGTATAAAAATAAATAGTCTTTCGAAGGTTTTATGTGATTAAGTTGATGGATCACTTTTCGTGGATGATTTTAATATTTCTTGTGTCGTGGTAAAAATATGCATACATTAGAGAGAAAGTTACAAATCTGTCTAAATAAAGTTCAAAAGTGGTCATTTGAAAATGGTTTTAAGTTTTCCAAATCAAAAACTAATTGTTTTCATTTTTGCAGAAAATATAAGCAGCACAAGGACCCTGAACTCTTTTTAAACGGCACCCATATCAAAGTGGTAAAGGAGGCCAAGTTCTTGGGACTTATTTTCGACGGCCATCTAACTCTCTTACCGCATATAAAATACCTTAAAACTAAATGTCCAAAGGCACTCAATTTATTGAAAGTTGTTTCAAATTCTAAGTGGGGAGGGGATCGAACAACCCTCTTACACTCTTGTACAGGTCACTGATCCGTTCCAAACTCGATAACGGTTCCATCGTCTATGGTGGAGCCTGCAAAAGTAATTTAAAAACACTAGATACTATCCATCATCAGGCCATCATCAGGCCTTCAGAACGTCTCCAATTCACAGTCTGTATGTAGAAGCGAATGAACCTTCTCTTAAACAACGCCGTCTGGAAAAATGTCTTTACAATACGTCACTAAATTATATTCTAATCAGTCAAACCCAGCTTTTAATTGCGTCTTTAAGCCTCTTTTCCAAGATATCTACAATAAAAAAGCATCTCTTGTTCCACCACTCGGAATCAGAATCCAGTCTGCCATGTTTGCTTCCAATATTAAGCTGCAAGATATAGCTCCCTCTCAACTGTTTTCATCACCTTCTTGGCAAATGGTAAGGCCAGAGGTAGACCTTACATTAACCAAATTAAAGAAATCAGATACTAATCAACTAATTTACCAACAAGAATACAATCAATTACGAAACAATTATGACACTTATAAATCTTTATTTCCTGATGGATCCAAGGATGATGGTGCTGTTGCTAGTGCCACTGTCATTGAATCCAGAACAATATCTTCAGTATTACTAGATAAAAGTTCCATCTTTACAGCAGAAGCAAACGCCATTTTTACCGCACTGAAATATATCAACAACCAATCTAAACATAAACAGTTCATTATTTTTTCAGATTCACTTTCAGGCAATTAAAAATATGTCATTTAAACATCCACTTTTAATCCAATTTTTTTAATTATTTAATGATCTTGCTACTGGCCAATATGATATCGTCTTTTGTTGGTTACCAAGCCCTGTTGGTATCGTTGGTTATACAATGGCCGATGCTGCTGCAAAAGCAGCACTCAACAAATCTGTGATACCACTTCGTCTCATATACACTGGTTATAAACCTGTTATTAGATCTTACATCCGTGATCTGATGCAAAAGAAGTGGGACACCCAAGTAGGTATCAATAAATTACATCAAATTAAACCAAATATCGGTTACAGCTACTTGAAAATTGGGCTGTCAGTCCAGATTTGAAGCGGTCATTATGCGACGATGTCGTATTTGCCACAGCAGATACACAAATGAATATTTATTAAAAGGTGAGGATCCTCCATTTTGTATCCCTTCTGATAAAGGAATCACGGTCAAGCATGTCCTGCTTGACTGAATGGATTTTTTCAATCACAAGGCATAAATATGTCAGTGTTAAAACAATTAAGGACCTGTTTAATGATGTTAATTCTCGTTTAATAATTTTTTTTTTAAAGAAATCGACCTTATTCATAAATTTTAATGTACTTACTGCACTGTTTTAAAAATTGGTAGTACAATTTAATAGCTTAGAATGCTAGTGGCTGTACCCTCGAGGGGGGTTGAAGTGGTGTAAAATTATTGTCCCCCGAAGAGGGTATGTAAGTCCCATATCATTTGAAGTATTTTTCTGCACACCAGGCTTATAAACGTAGTATATTCCTTATTTTAATCGTAGGCTTAACTGGTACACTGTCGCCAGTGACTGAAGGGATGATATAAATCATGCCGGGGTCCATGCAGGAAGCAAAGGTACTGTAAGTCCCCATGGTTCCCCGTCAGTGGCTGACGATTTCTAGCCCCTTTTTATATTGTGTTGTTCATTAATGCTTACTGCTTTTAAATCTCCCTCAACTAGTTTTAAATCTTATCTGTGATATTCTAGTTATCATACTGTCCTTCGATGACAGGTTTTTATGAAGTCTAAAGGTATGTATATTTATGTATAACTTTTCGTCACGATATGGCTGAAATATTGCCGATGTGATGTTAAATATTAACTCACTCACTCATCTCCACGCATTGTATTTGTATTGACATTGCTCGGGTCTGTGACCCTTTTGTATATGTTTGAAATAGAGATGATGGCGATTGAGAATTGAGCTGAAGGGATCAATATAATAAGTCAAAGTTTATTACGATTCTCCGCTTGGCTAAAATTTCCATAATCAGTCCATTGTACGACTCCGACATCATAAGTATGTGTTTATGGACCGCTATCATCTAGTAATGATACTAGGTGTTCCCGAAAGGATGCGCGTATCCTGCCCCACCGGTGCCGCCCGTCACAAACAGATGCAAAGACAAGTCAATTGTTCACATGGGAAAATACGGACAAAACAATTTTCTCCGTATGTCTACAATAAACCGTTTTGAAAGCTTTAATGGGGACTTGAATTGTGTAGTAAACACAAGCAATGTGAATTGCCCACACGGGAACAGATGTCCCCTGTCAAAACGGGGAACCGCATGAGACCTTAGTTGAGTCAGTGATGTGGCAAATTTTGAATGTTGCCCCACATGTGTAATTTACAAACATTTGAAAGCTTTACTGAGGTCTTGAATGCTGAAACATTTGTTTGGAATAATGATGTACCTTATGGTCACTTTTTAACACTTGTTTTTTCTTAAACAAGCCATTACCGTAATAATATTATCCTCGACATGTTGAAAATATTTGCACTCTAAACTTCTTTAGTACGTGGGGAGATGTTGATATCTTTGTGTCTTGAATTTCAGAGACCTCGTGTTAGTTACCGTCATTGGTGAAGCAAGTAGTATATTCTGTGGCCTGGTGGTCTTCTCCACTCTGGGCTTCATGGCACACCAGGCGCAGGTCCCGATATCAGAAGTTGTATCATCCGGTAAGTAAATCTGTTCCTTACTTACCCAGCATGCACGCAACGTTGGATCAACCTTTAAAATTGGTTGCGTTCATATTGTGACGTTGATCAACCAAACTGCAACGTTGTATCAACGTTAAATCTTAAACGTCTCAACAACGTCGAATTTAAGACGTGCGAACATCATTTCAATCGACAAATCACCCTACTTTTTCACTCCGTTTCACCTTTTTTCACACTGCGTTGAAACTCAAGCACGATCAGTTTGCATGCCAATTCAAATTTGAACAAGCTAGGTATATTAAATTATATGTATATTTTTATACTGATACATGCACATAATATAATATAAAGAAATTCACACGGATGATTCTCCAACATGTTTCAGCGGTATCTTCTGGGAGAAGTGAGCAAATGTTGAAAAAAAAAGTTGAAAAAGGCTT